CCCCGCTGTCGCCGGTTTCAGGGCGACCCAAGGCCAGAGACAGCTCCGTCTCCATGTATACCTAGCTAGCAACGTACCAAGCCTAGCTACGAAGTATACATATGCTGTGCAATACTAGAGGCACGGAGCTAGTATATCTAGTCCGGGAAAGAAGATTTAAACGGGAAGACGAAGAGGAGACAAGAGTACAAAACGCCCATTTATGAATGCATGAGTACGTTGGTGATTTGGCTGAAACGAAACGAAAGGAGCCGCGCGCATACGAAATCATCACCAGATGCTTGATTTACGGGATGCCCGAAACGCCTCGTACGGACGACAGCGAGAGTGGTACGACCGGAGAGAGCAGGGCCACCGGCGTCGCCATCTCGATGTCCTTTCCTTGGCTGTGCTCCCATAAAACCTCCAATCGCGCTGCGCAGGCCACCGTGTACATCTGATGTCCTATCATCTTCAGGTGTTGTGGACGGGCATGTTCCACACACGGAAGATGCATTAGCACCTATGTTAGTACTCCCTCCATTTCACAATATAGTGCGCCCTGAATTTGACTATAAATTTGTCACGTCCCCAGTTACCACTCAAGGCCTACCTGAGGAGCGGGACGGCCTGGCACCGCCCAAGAGGAGGAAGAGGCCCAACTGGCTTTTCGATCCAGAGACCTAGGAGATGTAGGTTAAGTAGCGGTGTGTGCGGAGTGGAGGGCACGGCTGAGTACTGGTTGTAACCCTATCCCCATTCCCTTCTTCTCCTTTTTTTTAGAACGAAGGCTCAAGGGGGAGCCCGACTTTAAATTAACAAAGCCATCAACCGGCCAGGATTACACAAGGCCACCAAGCAAGAGCGACCGAAAGATACAAGGGAGCCGAGTGAACAGCTTACAACGCAACGCACACTACTGCACACAAAGGAAGAGACATGAAAGATCTGCAAGTAATGTCGAAGCCTGCTGCACATCGACACCAGGAGCAGGAAAGCAGAGAAGCCTCGGGGATCAACCAAAGGCCTGCAAGCACTGAGAGCAGCCGGATCATGGGATTGGGACCCCGCAACCTGTCTTCCAACGCCGAAGAAGACCCCAATCTTCTCGTCTAGGCTCGAAGGCGCCGCACCGTCGGGTCGTCGGGCGCTCACCCGAGAGCACGGACATGTGCCGGTCGTAACCCAGAACAGGCCTGGCTCACGGTTCTCACCACGCCGTAGGCTCACACCACTAGCTGCACTGCCACCTGCCCAGGCAACCGAGAACAGAAGGAAAGCCACTGGGGGGATTGTCGAAGAAACCAGCTGCAAAGACCCAAGGCCGAAGCTTGGAGAAGCCTCTGCTTGGACTCGCAGCCGACGGGCGCTCACCTACCTCGGCGCCACTCACCCGGAGAACCAGACGACCCAAGGCGGCGCCTCCAAGGAGGGAATGACGCGCAGGGTGCCGCCACCGCCCAACCCGAGACGAGTTTTGGGTTTTCACCAGGGATCTGGGACGGGGATGGATAGGGGAGTCCTGAGCGGTGCCTCGAAGGAGAAAGGCGATGCGCGCACGCGCCATCACCGCCGTGGTCAGAGAGCCGACCAAGGGTTTCCCCCGGACTCAGACTATGCCACCAGCACACCGCCGGCACCGGAACTGGCAGCCAAAGCTGCAGAGCAGACAACCAGAGGAGGAGAAAACAGCCCGACCTTCAGATCTGGATCGGAAGAAATCCGCGCCACGACCACCCCCCGCCGGCTCCGTGCCGCCCGAGCAGCCGAGGAGGCCGGCCGCCACATCCCGCGCACGCCGCCTATCGCAGAGGCCGCACCGCCTCGCCGACCGGGGCCGCCGCCCCGGAGTCCGTGGTCCTTCGCGAGGGGAACGAAGCGACGAGGGACCTCGCCGCCACCTTCATCGGCGGCCGCCGCGGCTTGCCTGGCATCCCTCAGGTGGCGGCAAGGGGAGGAGATGCTGGAGGGGGTGGCGGCGCCGGGGGGAAACCCTAGTCGCCCCCGGGTCGCCCGCGGGGGACGACACGGGAGCCGGGGGAGCTAGCAGTTTCCCCTTTATCCCTTCTTCTCCTGAATCGTGCCTCCTCTCTAAATCCCTCCCTCCTTCCCCGAAAAACTACTTGTATCTCCATGGATCTGATGAATTAAGCAGTGAGGGCGTAACATATGGTATCAGATTTGCCAGATTATCTTCAGCGACCCACTTTCTCCACGCGTCAGCAGAGGCAAGCAGTAACGATGGAGCAGCGCGTTGACGAGTTGGCGGCGGCGCTCAAGACGATCCAGGAGCAAAACGCCTCCATCCAGAAGGCATTGGCGGCGTCCACAACCCTTTTTGAGGAGATCAAGCCTGCCGTCGTCGATCTAGCGGAGTGGAGACCGGCCTTGGATCAGGCGGTGACTGATCTAAGGACGGATCTGGGCGGAGTTCGGCGTGACCTGGACCACGTCATCCGCAACCCGATCCTGTCGATGAAGCCGACGGATCTGCCGCCATTGGTGACAGAGCCACCGCCGCATGACACCTTCGTCGCCGCGGCAACCACTCTCAGGCCCGATGGCCTCCACGACGACACAACTTTCCGGGGGGCGCGAGCGGGGGTAGTAACTACCCTTGTTCCACCTCCGGTCACGGGTACGTCAGCCGTCCATGAATCTCGCTCGCGTTCACTTGTTCATTCTCCAGAACGGCGTCAGTTTTCGTCGGGATTAACCCACTTTCGGCAGCCTTCTCGTTCTGGCAGTATGAGGCGTATGCGCCCTTCCCTGCCGCCCCGACCCAAGATGGATTTTCCTCTGTTTTTGGGGGAGCGGCCGCGTAGTTGGAAACGTAACTATGAGTCTTACTTTAGAGTGTTCCACTTGGATCCGGAATTATGGGTAGATACGGCAGCGATGAATTTTGCGGGTCCTGCCATGATCTAGTTAGAGAATGGACGTTTTGATCTTAGTCATATGGAGTGGGAGCCGTTCTGTTCGCTGGTCTATGACCAATTCGAACGCAATGAGTACAATTCTCTGCTGCGTTAACTCTTTCATTTGCGTCGGACGGACTCGGTGTCTGAGTATGTGGCTCAGTTTAATGATCTGATGCATTCTCTTTTAGCTCATAGCAGTTCTTGGGATCCTGCCTTGTTTTCGTCCCATTTTGTTGATGGACTTAAGGATGAAATTCGGGTCATTGTTCTTGTTCACAACCACCGCGACATGGATACTGCTATTTCCTTGGCATGTTTGCAGGAAGAAGCACTGGAAATTTCGAAAAGGCGTGAATCTCGTCGCACAGACAGTGGTGTGGGGACTCGATCACATTTGCGTGGTGCGATGCCATTGCCTACACCACCCGGACGTCCTCCTCCAGTGACGGATGTTGCAGGGGATCGGAAAGCTGCGCCCAATACTCTGGCGCACTCGACTCCCTCTACTGATGAGCGGTTGACTACTCTCCGAGCCTACCGCCGTGCACGGAGGCTTTGCCATTTGTGTGGAGAGAAATGGTCCAAGGATCACAAGTGCGCTACCGCTGTGCAGTTGCATGTTGTGCAAGAGCTTTTTGATGTCTTAGGCATTTCTGGATTTGACAGTCAATCCGATCAGTCAGACTCTACTAGTGAGTGTCACACAATTTCCAGAGCAGCAGTGGACGGTACTGTCGCACCTCAAACTGTGTGCTTGCAAGGATCCATCCAAAAGCACAAGGTGTTGATTCTCATTGACTCTAGCAGTTCACATAGTTTTTTCAGTTCTACCTCAGCAGCTCGCTTGTCTGGTGTGGTGGTGTCCACTCGTTCCCTTCTGGTGCGTGTCGCTGATGGAGGACAAATATAGTGCACCCATGAACTTCCGGATTGTCAATGGATTGTGCAAGGGCATAAGTTCAGATCAACCTTGAAAGTGCTGCCGTTGGGGTGTTATGACATGATTGTGGGTATGGACTGGCTGGAGGTGCACAGTCCTATGGATGTTCATTAGGGTCAGAAATAGCTGCAGTTTGAGCATCACGGGCAGGATATTTTGCTGTAGGGAGTTCAACCGAATGTTCAGTAGTGTTTTCAGTTATCCTCGGCTCAGTTGAATCTCTTAATGGCCAACAACGATATTCATCAGGTTATTCAGGTGTGTGCTGTTGAGTGTGAGCCTGACAGTGCAGTTGTGCCTGAAGTGGTGCAGACACTCTTGAAGCAGTTCGCTCACCTGTTCGAGCCACCTACTGGATTGCCCCCACAGCGAGCAGTTGACCACAACATTCTGTTGATTCCAGGTGCACAGCCCGTCAACATTCGGCCATATCGTTATACCCCAGCTCAAAAGGATGAAATTGAGGCGCAAGTGTCTGAAATGCTTAGGCAAGGTATCATTCAGCACAACTGCAGTCCTTATGCGTCCCGGGTGCTGTTAGTCCAGAAGAAGGATCTCAGTTTGCATTTCTGCATTGATTTCAGACATGTGAATGCCATCACTGTCAAGAACCGCTTCCCTCTCCCTATTATAGAACAATTGTTGGACGAGTTGGCTGGGTCTGTTTGGTTCACCAGTTTGGATCTGCGGGCAGGGTATCATCAAATTCGCATGAAACCAGAGGATGGGCATAAAACAGCCTTCAAGACGCACCATGGCCATTATGAATTTAAAGTGATGCCAAATGGGGTTACAGGTGGACCAGCTACCTTTCAGGGTGCGATGAGCATTCTGTTTGCACCATTACTTCGCAAAGGAGTGTTGGTATTTATCGATGATATTTTGGTGCATAGTCAGACCTTGCAGAGGCATATCGAATTGCTGCAACAAGTATTTCAGCTCCTAGCTCAGCACAAATTTCACCTCAACCTCTCTAAGTGCAAGTTTGCTCAGCAAAAATTGACTTATCTTGGGCATGTTATTAGTGCCGAGGGGGTATCGACGGATGATAAAAACATTTCAGCAGTCCGAGATTGGCCAACTCCCACCACCGTCAAAGAGGTTCGAGGATTCTTGGGATTGGCTGGGTATTATCGGAGGTTTGTGAAAAACTTTGGGTTAATCAGCCGTCCGCTCACTAATTTACTCAAGAAGGGTGCCAATGTTGTCTGGAGTCCAGAAGCTGGCGCTGCTTTCCATCACTTGATGTCGTCGCTAATTACAGCTCCGGTTCTGGCACTACCTCAGTTTGATAGGCCATTTGAGGTGGAGACTGATGCTTCTGATCATGGAATCGGTGCTGTCCTTATGCAAGAAGGGCACCCCATAGCCTTTTTGAGCAAGTCCCTTGGTCCTCGCAACAGCGGACGCTCTGCGCATGAGAAATAGTTCGTGGCGATCTTGCTCATAGTTGACCAGTGGCGTCCGTATTTGCAAACAGGGGAGTTCGTTATTCGCACAGATCAGAGAAGTTTGGCTCACTTGGATGAGCAGCGGATGCATACCCCGTGGCAGCGCAAGGCATTAACTAAGATGTTAGGCTTGCAATACAAAATAGTCTATCACAAAGGAGTCAAAAACAAAGTTGCAGACGCCTTATCCCGTCGCGATGGGACACTTTGTGCAGTCTCCGTGGCCTTACCAGTTTGGTTGGAGGATATCACAAAAGGTTATGCTTCTGACCCGCAAGCTTGTAAGCTGTTGCAGCAACATAGTGGGTCTGCGGTGGGCGAGTCGCCTTATACGGTGCAGGATGGAGTCATTCGTTACAAGGGTCGTGTGTGGCTGGGAAGCAATGCAGCGGCACGGGACCAAGTTCTTTAGTCATTAAATGCTAGCCTATTGGGTGGACACTCCGGCATCCATGCTACTTATGAGAAAGCCAAGAAGTTGTTTGCATGGCCGAAGATGAAGTCTGACATCACCCAGTTCATCTCCGCATGTGTTGTGTGCAAGCAAGCTAAGCCGGAACACATCATAACGCCCGGGTTGCTTGAGCCACTAGCAATACCACCACATCCCTGGCACACGGTGACTATGGACTTTATAGATGGGTTGCCAGCCTCTCCGGGATACACTTGCATCATGGTGGTAGTTGACAAACTTACCAGGTACGCCCATTTTGTTCCTTTGATGCATCCCTTCATAGCAGTTCAAGTGGCGTCAGCGTACATGACAAATGTGTACAAGTACCATGGGTTACCATATGCCTTAGTCTCGGATCGTGACAAGATCTTTACAAGCACATTCTGGAGAGAGCTGTTTCGGCTAGCAGGAACTGAACTCCGCATGTCATCAGCGCATCACCCCTAGACGGATGGCACCACAGAACGGGTGAATCAGTGTTTGGAGTCTTATCTCCGTTGTTTCGTTCATGCTTGCCCACATCGCTGGTATCAATGGCTTCATTTGGCGGAGTTCTGGTATACTACTGCTTATCACTCTGCGCTTGGGGCTTCACCCTTTGAAACATTGTATGGGCACCCTCCACGTCATTTCGGCATCATGGAAGCAACAGCTACTGTTTCTTCAGATTTGCACAGCTGGGTGCATGAGCGATAACTCATGTTAGCTCTGCTCAAACAACATCTAGAGCGTGCTCGTTAGCGTATGAAATCTCAAGCAGATAAGCATCGATCAGAGAGATCCTTTTTGGTGGGCGATTGGGTGTTTGTCAACTGCAGCCGTATGTGCAGGTCTCCGTGGCACAATGGGCCAGTCATAAGCTTGCTTTCCGTTACTTTGGTCCTTTTCAGGTCGAGGCTTGGGTGAGCACAGTGGCCTATCGTCTGCTGTTGCCGGCGACGAGCAAGGTGCATCCAGTGTTCCACGTGTCCCTTCTACGTGGCGCTCTTCCTCCCTCCACCGAAGTGGCGCCGGGGCTGCCAACACCACCACCGGTGCATGCGATGCCCTTCATCCTGGAGCAGGCTTTGGCGCGGCGGGTCATCACAAGGGGCACTGCCAAAATTCCGCAAGTGCTGATCAAGTGGGATGCTCAGCCTAGTTCTCTGGCGACATGGGAAGACTACTTCGAGCTCCGGAGCAGAATCCCTGGAGCAATAGCTTGGGGGCAAGCCACATCTAAGGGGGGGGGGGGGACAATGTCACGTCCCCAGTTACCACTCAAGGCCCACCTGAGGAGCGGGATGGCCTGGCACGGCCCAAGAGGAGGAAGAGGCCCAACCGGCTTTTCGATCCAGAGACCTGAGAGATGTAGGTTAAGTAGCGGTGTGTGCGGAGTGGAGGGCACGGCTGAGTACTGGTTGTAACCCTATCCCCATTCCCTTCTTCTCCTGAATCATGCCTCCTCTCTGAATCCCTTCCTCCTTCCCCGAAAAACTACTTGTATCTCCATGGATCTGATGAATTAAGCAGTGAGGGCGTCACAAAATTTAACCAACAACACCGACTACGTTGGGAGCAAAAATTATACAGTGGTGTAATTTTTGCTCCCGCCGCAGTTGGTCTCGTTGGTTAAATTTATGATCAAATATTTATCTCGTGAAGTGCAGGCGCACTACATTATGAAACGGAGGGAGTATCGCCGTTTTTTGGCCCTAACTGTGTATACAACCGACTAATTATCTGAAGTAGCCGACAAAAACATATATTATTCAAGTTGACTTAAAACACAAATCGACTAATACATTGTCAAGCTCAAGGTGATTATGGGCTAATAGCTCCTATGCGACAACGATGAGGTGTATTGGAAGGAGTATAACGTAGTTAACGAAATAGGTCTTGTGCGACATTTCAGAAGCTCAATAGCCAAGGCCCACTCGCACGACTAAAAAGGTCATCAATGGGAGTGAGGATATGTTTAGACATGTGGGTCCCAGTTGGCATTGTATCTAGAAACGGGCCCCACTTTGCAGTGCATCAAGTGAAACGCGTCCCTGTACCTGACTGGACGCATGTTGCCCCCGCCTCTTCATTCTCGGCGGTGAGCCGGCGACGGCGGTGGAGCTTTTGTTCTAGGTGACAGCAACTCGGGGTAGCTTTCATTCTCGGCGACGACGGTGACTGTGGTGAGTGAATCCGGAACCCTTGTCTGGTTCCCCTCCGTGTCGAGTTAGATCTTACCACATCACCTCTATTTTCGGTCGATTTGATCCAGATTGTGTGTGTGTGGGGGGGGGGGGTGACCAGGACATGTACCTAGGTAGGGTCCTAGGCCTGACCTACATACCCTACCCAAGGACACTACATATAAGACCGGCGTGGCAGCGTTGGCATTGATTCCCGTGGGAACTGACGCGATGAGGACGACGAAGGCGGCGAGTCGCTGACTCGGAGAACCCAATCCTGTTCGCGCCAAATTCTATTTCCCCGGCGCCCCCAGCGCGCCAGGATCGGCCTGGGTCTGCCGGCGCCAAAATCGGCCCAAGCCGCGAAAATTGGGCTTCTGGGGGCGCGGCTGGGCCGAATTTTCAGCGCCGGCGACAAAAAAAGGCCTTGGGGGGCCTGTTGAGGGCGCGGCTGCCACTCGCACGCCGTGGGCCGACGGAGCCAGCGTGCCAGCCTCAAGAACGACATGGAGGGGCGGTGGGGCGGCGCCCCCGCCACCACCGTGCGTGGCGATAGGGTTGAAGTTGTCGGTGGCGGCGGCGCGAGACGAGGCGGCACTGTCAGCGGGTGGGCGGCCGTAGACGTAGGGGTTCCAGCCAGCCGCGCGCTCCTCCCTGTGCGCGTTCTGGTGGCCACCGAGGGCCTGCGGCTTGAGGAATTTCCTGTCGCAAAAGAGGCACGGGAACAACGGCCGCGCCTCATCATCGGCCAGCCCGCCGCTGTATGCTCGCCGGCCGGCCGCCCCACTGCCGCCGGTTCCCGGGCGACCTAAGGCCAGAGACAGGTCCATGTATGCCTAGCTAGCTACGTACAAAGACGAGCTACAAACTGGAGCATATGGTAATATGGTAATGTCCATTTATGCATGAGTACCTCAGTACCTTGTTCTTCTGGCTGAAACAAAAGGAGCAGCGCGCAGATAAAATCAAGTCATCAGCAAATGCTTGAGGTACGGGATGCCTGACAAGCTGCGTCCGAGTACGACGACTGCGAGACAGCGAGAGTATGTACGGCCGGAGAGAGCAGGCCCACCGCCGTCGCCATCTTGTTGTCCTTTCCTTGCTCTTCTGCGAGAAAACCTCCAATCGCGGTGCGCATGCCACCGTGTTCATCTCGTGTCCTTTCAAGTTGGTGTTAAAACAGAAATCGACTTCCTCGCAAAAAAACAAAAAAAACAAAACAGAAATCGACTAATACAGTGTGAAGCTCAATGTGATTACTTGTACTCCTTCGGTGCTCGCTCTCTCTTCGCTCTCTCATGATACAAATTCTTGATTTAGGTTAACCCATAGCCAGCAGTCTCATGGCCATGTAGACTGATCTGATCACTCAGGAGGCCCAAAGTTATATCTCTCTTCAAGTCGGAGGGTCAAATCCTATCTTGGTCTACCGTGACTACAATCACAGTGTAGTTCTGGATTGTCCCTAAGCAGGACGATTCACACCGATGGCATAGAGTTTTGGACATAGCATGCATGTACAATGATTGATAAGAGAGTCTTATCTTTAAGTCTTGCATGTAATTTAGAGATGACAAACAAATTTGTCTACAATGGGTCATCTCTTAGCATTATCTTCAATAACTAGTCATTCCTAAAAATATGGTGAGACATATTATGCTAAGAGATCATCTCTTGTCTTCACTTAAATGAGAGACAAGACTTTTCTTATGAGTTCTCTTTCCTCCACCTCATCATTTATCCTACATAGCACTCCTAAGATAGCACCATTGTACATGCCCTAACCACATCTCCAACGTTGACCCGCAAATTTGCTTCGACATGCATCCGCAAACAGAGGGAGACCAGTCCACGGATACTGATACCGGATGCCGTCATCCAACGTTGCCCGCATATATTTCAACCATGGTTCAAACTAACCGGACGAAATTCATGCTAATAGGACGGAGTTCATTAAAAATTGAAAGAGATTCATGCAAACACCTCGTCCGCCGCTCCTTCCATCTCCTTCGGCTGCTTGTCAGCCTGCCAACCAATAACAATGGCGGCCATCTCCTCCTTGTGCTCCAGCGATAGTTTGCCCCAAAGAGCTCTCGAGCGCGAGGAGGCCATGGTGGGAATGGTGCGGAGAGGAGAAAGAGACCGGAGGAGGATGACTGCGGCTATTATCGGGGCTGGAGTTTATATAGCAGGCAAATGGCAATGGTGGGCGGCAGACGGACGACAGATGGTGGTGCCGGAGTACGTTCCTCAGCAACCGTGTGTCCTTGATGTAGGGCGACAGATGGTCGTGATGCCATTTCAACGCGAAGCAGTCGCGTGCACCGGGAAGCAGCACGAGCGTCGACGCCCTCTCAGTTGGCGCGGCGCTTCAATGCATTCGTCGGTGAGAGGCTGTGTGCGCTATGGTCGTACATAAATGCGGCACTGACGCTCTGGAATGGAACTGGCCTTTCCGGGTGGGAAGCGCGCGCGGGCGAGGGAAGGGATTTGGGTGGGCCAGGGTAGTCAGAAACGGACGTGGCAGCGGTCCGTACGCTCGTAAATCCCCCTCCCCCCACCACCACTTCGTCACCGATTTGTGGAAAAAGTGCGTCTAGATTGCCGAGCGAAGCGATACAGAATCGCGTTGGTGATGACACAACACGTTCAGACCGCGCATTCGGACGTATGTGGACGGTTTGAGGGTGCGCATTGAAGATGGCCAGATAATGCTTCTCCCTTAAAATAAACTAATAAATCTTCTCATCTCATCTCAAAAGTGTGCCCGACTTGGTGTTCTATTAATGCGGCGATAATACTAATAATATCTTTGACCTGTGAAACATGGCCGCCAACCAATAGATATGCTAGATCATAGAATTTCTGTGACATGTGTTAAACATGGATCTAGTATAAAGACGACTAGATGAGTGTTTTAGAAGACCCTCTAATATTTTTAGGAATAGAGACCCACTTAATGAATTTCTTAAAATGAATTTGCTCTGCTTAACAGTTTCTTTAAGTTGGTAGAGGGGTTTCAAAAGTCTACTAGAGTTGTTGTAAGGTAAGAGGCCTCTTTTTTCTGATAAGGAACGTTTTTTAAATTAAAAATGTAGCATCAAGCAGATACAAAACATGATTAAATACGGTTGGTACTCGGTTTGGTGTAGCGTTGATCACGTACGAATACAGTGTGTACAATGATAAGTATCATGTAAAGGAGTGGAGTTTTTGCTGTTATGAATAAAATAATTTCTACAGCCAAACTGACCATAATAAAACAAACACTACCACACTTATTAGCGTACTAAACCTATTTGAAAGTCCATCAAGCTAGTAACCATAAGTATGACACTTGTGGGTACATACAAATTGGATGTTTGTTTAGATGACTGACCACATAAAGCGCGCACTTGCGTTGCAAAATAGGTGTTTAATTATCTCATCGCGAGTAAGAAAACTACACTTGTTGCAATTTTGACGGACAAGATTTGTTTCTTTTACCACAACTCCTCTTAAAAAATAACACATAACTTTATTAAATTATTCCCCTAAATAACTTTATTAATTTTGCGTAGAATGTTCGGCTTCCAGATCTTCACTGGATCTCTGTATTGTATGCTTAAATGCACGGGACGAGGCCTCTTTAAGCTCCAGCCGGTATACCAAGCATGCTAAGCAGGAGTGAGCAGACCCAAACAGGAAACAGCTAATTTCCGTGTGGGTACGTGTTGCCTCGCCACGGAAAGCAACCTACGGCAGCCTGTAGCCGAGGTAGACAGCTAGTGACCGGCCAAAACACACCTCCGGGAGTGCACGACGGAGAGCACAAAAACCCGCTTTTAGGATCTTGTAAGGGAGCAGCATGTACGTGGAATCTCATCGACCGTTGGCAAGTTGATGATGTGACTCGTCGACGCTACAGTATCCACATGCTTGTTTGTCAGCCACTGTAATTAATACTGTACTGACTACGTTGTTGCCACTTGACACTGTCCTGCCCCGGTGCCACCGGATCTACGGATGCAGCACCACCCATCCTTATGTTGGTAAGCGATTATCTATATTAGCTCGGAGATCTTTCTCCATGTCCCTTCTCAATATTATATGATGGGTTCATTGGGTTGGCAGAATATTTGGAGGGTTTTTATAGTATTTCTTTCAACGAAAATTTTCCATATGCATGACATTTATAATACCTAAATAGTTCATCTTCGCTATCTCATTTCTCTTGACATGCAGCTTATTCACGTCACTGATTAACATGCAGCCATCCACTTCGCTTCACCTCAGCAGTCTAGCCACATCCTCAGCGATAGTGCCACATCAGCAACTTTTGCCCGTGCATGTTAGTTCAGCTAAAAAGGAAAAACTGTTCGTCTGGTGCAAGCGAGGCACATCCGTTATATTACGCCGTGCGCGATCAAACCTCTATTTTTCTGGCATGATTGATCTCTCATTATCCCTCTGATTCGCCACGCACTGGCAACACAACCGCGATCTGCGCGAGTGAGAACTGCATGTATGCACGCGTGAGACCAGCCAGTAATGTGCGGAAGGACACAAATCGACACAAAGCAAGCACGCAACAAATTTGATCCAAGCATGTCGCCCATCAATTCATTCCAGTTAATTACTATTGCCAAAAACCTTGCATGCAGTTAATTACGGCTTAACTGAATTGTGCCATGGTACTTTTGGCCCGCCGTTCTATACCTTTCCCAGTCCCAGACTACTCCCTCCATTTAGGTGAGTAAGTCATCTTAGGTTGTGCACCGTGACCAAGGAGGAGGGAAAAACGAGATACTTTAATGTTTATTTGCTAGTTAATAGCATTGCATGTAATGAACTAACCACTGTATGTCGTGTTTGGTAGTCTCAAGTCATTAAAAACATGCACACCCCTCATCTCTCATTGGTTGATATCAAAAGACAAGAAACGAGGTAGGAGTTAATGCACCGCGCCTAAGTGTTTTGGGATTATTTGGTTTTCGTAAGATGACTTACACACCTAGACGGAGGGAGTAGCATTTATTCCCTGGTGCATTATCTCTTCCTCTTCTTCGTCCGGGTTCACTCGCACAAATAAATCAATCCCTTGGTCTTATGTTTGGACACAGTTCAACAGTATATAGCCATTCGTTGCAAAACAACCAAATTGAAACATCTCTCACCTTCAAGAGCGATGGTGGCGTTCATGGCGAGGTCCTGCTGCCAGCCAAGCCTTCGTGAGTCGTCGATGCCAGAGACCCGCGCGCTGCTGCTGACCGAGGCCTCTGTAATCTTGGCACTTGAACTGAGCCGTGCACCCCATTGCCGATGAAACGGGCCCTGTTGGCTTCGCTGCTCCAAGCCACGCACCCCGTCGTTGATCAAAGCTCTGGGTGTACAACACGTGCCACCGTCTCCGTCCTCCTCTAGCATCAGCTGCACCAAAGGTGGGGACTCTCCTTACTCTCTATCTCCTTAGATCTGAGTGATTTTTTTTGAGTTAGCTTGAGTTGAAAGCTCTGCTCGTGTGTGGTAAGAAGTTTTACTTTTAGAAGAAAGCTTTGTTCCGTCTCCGGCCACCTCCTCCACGTAGCAGGCCCGTGTCTTTCTCTCCCACGGTCTCACCTACAATTGTCTCTAACTCAAGCACTGCCGACAAGCATGTGCCGAGATATGATGGTTCGTGCTCATCTCTCCGATCAGTTTGATTCTGATTAGAAACACTAGACGTGAAGAAAAAAATCATTTTCGTTCTTTAATGTTCTTGAAGGAATAAACAAATGAAACTCACCATGTACAACCTACAGTTCCAGTCCTGCATCTCTCTCTCTCACACATTAGTATGAATCATATTGGC